TGCAAGTGTGCAAGTGTTTGCATTTCATGCTTGGTTTATCTTGGATTAGCGTTTTCTAAGAATTGATTTTATCTTTCCATACAAATCCTAATTACTAGCATTTATATGAAAGCGATAAATTGCAGAAAGTAAATATTATATGCTATTACAATCATTTGAGGATGGAGTGTACAAATTTACAAATGGGGATTGCAAGAAATTAAAATCCTAATTATCTATTACAACCATATTGAAATAGTGTACAAGAATGAAAATATAAAATAAATTTGTTTTATTTTCATGAAGAGAAGAAATAAATTTGCTTAAGGAAATGTTTTTAGTCTTTTTGTTTTAAAATAAATAAAGCAAAGTGTATGAATATAAAGTATTTTTGGTGTTTTTGATTAATGAAAATAAAAGTGAATAAGAAAATAAAAGTTAGAGTCAACGTATGGCTGAAAGAATAGGAATATGAGAAAGAGAAGAAGTTTTGACTCTGGTGCACTGCAAATCAGAAATAAAATGTTAGCAGAAAATGGGGAAAGCCAGAAGTTCTGGGGTTGCTGGGAACAAAGGAAATCCTAGAAGTTCTGATGCAACTGGAAACCTAGAAGTTCTAGTGTTACTGGAGGGTTGGAAGTTCTGGTTGCGGAGGGAGCCTGGAAGTTCTAGTGTAGCTGGAAACCTAGAAGTGCAAGTTAGAAGTTCTGATAATGGGTCCGTGAGGTATCAATGTTGTTGGATGGGAATATCTAGAAGTTCTAGTCCATGATCACTATTATGACAAACAACTGAAGGGGGTTTCTCTAGAAGTTATGGTCCAAGATCATTGTTTGACAAAAAATGGGGGAAAAATGTCAAGAAATAAACATAAAAGATGTTTCTGGGGCTAGAACTCAGGACCATTAACACTAATGTCTTATGCCCTCACTCTCTACCACTGGGGTGGCTATACATATGGTATTAGAAACAAAAACATAAGCATATATTGCAAAGTAAGTTCTGATGATGAACTTCATCTTATTATTCATGTTAGCCAGAGTATCTGTAACTTAGTCATTTCTCAATAAAAATGGAAAATGCAAACATAGAAGTTATGGAAAATTTCATCATGATTTCAGAAATACAAAGCATCAAAACTGTAAACCAGAAGCAAGCATGAATTTTGCTAATCCTAATTCTGAACCCTAATTTCCTCTAGAAGTTATGATCTGAAATTCCCTCTACTTAGGCCATATGAATGAAATATATAAATATGTACAAAATTAGAACCATGATATCTACATTGTATCTTTGAAAATGCAAGCCTAACAATGCCTAAGTAATGAGATAAAAATCAGAAGAAACTTACCTTGCAGCTGGAAATTGTTCTATGAATTAGAGCCTGGTTCAAATTATTGTGATGTTCTGGTCAGCTTCCTCAAGTTCTTAGAAAGCTAAAGCAACTCTTAACTTGAGTTATGAATGGTTGGAAAGTTCTGGAGCAATCAAGATGCAAAGTTCTGTTTTTTGAAACAGAAAGTGGTGAATACTATTTTACAGTTTGAAAACAGAAGTTGGAAAAGCTTCTATGTGTAATCTAAAAACTGTATGGATGATTTGGTCAAGAAACACACAAGAAAAATTAAAGTTTGGATGCAAAAATTAGAAACTAGAAGGTTTCGTGTTTATGTTTGCAGTTTCAGGTCATTGGGAATTTTCAACAAGGTTTCAAGGCTTTTTCCAATCTTTTTGAATCTTTTTAACAGTTTGGAAATGAAGTTTAATTTATAGGCAAAGGATTTAGTAGCTTGGAGAAATCAGGAGTACATCCATCATGTGTTATGGATCGCTAACTTGTTTTTGAAGCAAGTTTAAACAAGCATAGTTTCAAGGAAAAGTAGAGTGGTTAGCAGCTTTAACCACGCCTAATCTGAGTTTGTAGGCATGATTTGTGGAGAAGTACACTCAGAAGCAAAAGGAAAGTATGGGCCCAAAATAAACTTTGTACAAAAGTTTACTTTCCAAGGACAATAATGGTACTTTTATGCCACACGTGGGAAGATCTTTTGGATAAAGGTTTAAACATTGGGATAAAGACTCAAAAGTGGGTGTAAGTATTAAATGATGATGAGATTTAGCAAGCAAGAAGACCTGCAACCTGAGATTATGCAGTCTAGCTTGAAACTGGATCAGAAGTTCAGCACAAACATAACTTGGATTAAGAACAAATGTCCAACTTCTGATCTTTGAATCTCCCTGCTCCAGCATGATCTGAAGGAGTCCTCAGACTTTTCAGAAAGCTTGTAACATGCTTTGTAATCCCTATTTGAATCACTTTTGCAAACTCTGATTGTACCTTCGTGAAAACTGGCCCAGAAGTTCTAACCAAATTCTGACTTGGAAAGGTTCAGAATTTACTAAGTGTTTTAGTTTCATGAACGTATCTTCAAAGATTTATAACTTGAAATCCCAGCATTTCTAGGAGAAGTTCTATTCTGCAATGTTTTAGATCTCAATGAGATCTACAACTCTCATGTCAGAAGTTCTTCCTGGATCACCTTGCATCATGATGAAAATCTGGCTAGAAGTTCTGAACTTATCATATTTCTTAACATTTAGAAAATTTTCTAAGTGTTTAGAACTTTGACTTTTCAAAAGTAATTTTGATTTTTGATCTTCTTGATGAACCAACTTCATATTCTAACATGTCTTGATGAAATGAGATTCTTGAAACTTGATTTTGATCCAAAAGTCAAAGTTTGACTTTTCAGTGTGCATTTTGACCATTTTGCCCTTGTGCCAATTCCAAACCTAAATTGATGTATCAGTGTTGCAAACTTGGTTCATGGAAGATCTTGAATTGGGCAATATAACATTTTCCTCAAGATCATAGATAATGGACACATGTTTCACTTTCTCAGCCTATAATTGAATGATGACCATCTTTTGCTCATCTCCTTGTTAACACATTTCTTCACTTTTGACACACAACTCCCTGTATGATGCAATGAGTTCTTCAAAGGTAAGTTCATCATTTAATTCTTTATCAGAATCATAGACTCCAGTCAAGGCATTCACGTGTTTGAATGATTCTTCTTCATGATCGCTTTCAGAATCTTCCTCTGACTATGACATAAATAGATTTTTCTTCTGCTTCTTAAGATAATTAACACACTCAAATTTTGTGCGTCCAAATCCCTCACATTAGTAGCACCAAACTCCTTTTCCATGACTTGGATTTTCTTCAATCCCGGACCTTCTTCCATTATCTTGATTTTTGTTGATGTCGAATGACATGTTCTTTGCATTTGATCTAGACTTCCTCAATATTTTGTTGATCTGTCTTCCTAGTAACACAAGATCTTCATATACTTCTTCTAAGTTCAATTCATCATAGTCCTCTAAGTCTTCAACACTAAAAGTAAATACTATATTCTTCTTCTTTTCAAACCTTTCATTGATAGCAAATTCAAAGGTCTTAAGGGAGCTTACAAGTTCATCCATAATCACGGTGCTTACATCATGAGATTCTTCAATGGCAATTACCTTCATGTTAAACTTCTTTGGAAGAGATCTGAACATCTTCCTGATCAGCTTATCCTCTAATATCTTCTCTCCTAGGTCTTTCGAGTCATTAGCAATGTCTAGAATAGTCATGTGAAAGTCCTAGATACATTCATCTTCCTTCATCTTTAAGTTCTTAAACTTTATAGAGATAAGTTGTAGTTTTTCCATCTTTACCTTAGAACTTCCTTCATGAACTTTCCTCAAGGCCTCCCAAGCAACCTTATCACTTTTACAGTTCTTTATCAGTTTGAACACATTCTTATCAATTCCATTAAATATTGTATTCAAAGCTTTAGAGTTTCCTTGAGATGATGCCTCATCATTATCATCCCAATCTTCTTCAGACTTCAACACATCAGTGATCTTATCATCTGCATCTATAACCTTTGGTGGTTCCCATCCTTTGACAATGTTTTTCCAAGCCTTGTTGCCAAGGGATTTTATGCACATCTCCATACGAGATTTCAAACTGTCATAGTTGATACCATCCAAAATAGGTATTTTAACCACAATTCCACTATCCTTGTCCATTGCGCCAGAAAGTAACTTCCCTGAATCTCACTCAGAGTCAGAGCAAGATGCCTGCTTTGATACCAATTGAAATTCTGGTTGTCAGATCTCGGATGTCCTAAGAGATGTCGAGACACCGGATTCGACTTCAACACACAACAACAAGATATATGAAAAAAATAAACACTACTGAATATAAAGAACACACATATATGTTTACCCAGTTCGGAACAACTTTCCTACTTTAGAGACTACCAAGCCAGGGGCGAAATTAACTAGATAATATCAATTTGTAGACCTCACAGCAAACATCCCAGTTTACAGCCTACACACTTAATCACTACTCTTTGCTTAACTTCTACCTAAGACACACCTAGGTATGAAGTCCTCCTCAAATCCCTCTTCAATTGCACTCAGCAATTGGAGCAACTCTAAACACAAGTAGAGAACAAAATGGAAGTCACTCTTCCAAGACACACAAAACTCAATGCTTAAAAGCTTATGAGAATTGACACACAAATACTCAATGCTTAACAGCTTATAAGCATCTGACACACGAATGTTCGATGCTTAAAAGCTTATGAACATCTGACACAAAACTTACAACCCACCAATAAGGATTCTAAAAATTCTAACAAAAATATCCATGTAAGTTCCACCTAATACTATTTATAATATTATTCTGGAGTGAGTTGGGCTTCAAAAACGCAACACTAAAGTAAATCATGTGTCATAAATAGAGACATAATTCACTTGAGTGATTTTTTAATCTCATATATTTATTTCAAATTATAAACGGATCAGATTCATTTTCATATATTAATCACTCAAAACACTAACGGAATATATATTTCTAAAACCCTTCACTGAGTGAGCAACATAGCGGTTTGCTCAATTTTTAGGGTTCACTCATCGCGTCTCTGCAAATCACAACGGCTCATCGCATCTCAAACCTAGCTGCCATGGCGAGTACCAAAGTTCAGAGGGTTATGACCCAACCCATTGTAAGCCTTCTCAACACACTCTTTCTCTTTCAACTTCACTATGCTTTGTCTCTAACAATTGAACCTTACCTGCGTTTTTTTGTTTGTTTTCTCAGAACTTGATCTTCAGGTTTCTTCAAAGCGTAAGTCTCCATACTCGTTTCGGTTAATCTTAATTACCGTTAATATTTTTTCTAATCTAATTTCGGTTTTAATTTTTTTGCAGAAAGCTCGTATTCAGATTTGGCTCTTTGAGCAAAAGGATTTGAGGATTGAAGGAAGAATCATTGTGAGTTTTGTTTTCAAGCCTTGTTTTTATTTTTATTTTTTATGCAGTAGCTTATTTAGTGTGTAGAATTATATAGTTAGGGTTTTAGTAATGCTATGAAGCACGGATGCGGGTAACACGGACACGAGCACACCTTTTTTTCGATTTTCGAGGTGTCAGTGCTACAAAGGTAGTAGCTTAAAGAATTTCGCATATAAACTTTGAAAAATAAAGCTGTTTTTGATCCCATTGTTTTAAATATCAATAAATTCTAGCCTTTGAAGGACACTCCTTAAGACCATGAGACATCTGACACTTCCAGTAGTCGCCCCTGTAGTTTCTATTCTCCAATTTCCTTTTCTCCTTTCTTTGTATGTCATTTCTGGCAGCAGATTTCTAGCTAATTAGTTATAAATTGATACCTTCTACTTTGTTTCAGTTTTGTTCTAGTTTTTCTCGCCCTTTCTCAGGTGGTAATCTCTTTTTCTGTGGTGCTTCCTTTTTTTTCACATTAAAAAGATGTATTTTTGCTTTTTATGTGATAAGTTATATTCTGTCATGAGGAACTAGATTGCGAGCTTTGGAGGTTGTTGATTTGTTCTCATAAGTAGACTTCCATAGGTCCAGTGTTATCAAATTGCGGCGTCATGGTTGCCATTGCGGATGTACTTGGCAGTTTTTGGGCTTGCCTACAATGGTAAATATCGGCCACCACATTCGATTTTTAGGCTTCCATTCAAATTCCCCTCGAGCAATGCTCCTAGCCACCACATTCTGTTTCTCTGTCAAAGAATTGTCATTAACCATAAGTTGACCTCGTACAAGTCATACTACTTGTCAATCTGCTTCCTATAGATTAATAATCTTTTTGGTGACCCATTTCGATAAATCCAAATCTGTTAACTAAGTCATTGCTGTCCTTGTGAGTGCTTGAATTGGCACACCAAGCTTACTGCAAAAGATATCTCTGGACAAGTATGAGATAAATATATCAGTCTCACGATCAGGTTTTGATTATATTTCTCTATCTATCACTTCACCGTCTTTTGAGGCTACATGTTTGTAGTTGTTTTACTGGGAGTTTCTGCTGTTTAAGTACATACTTTCTTTGAGTTATGTATATCTAGATAATATTTCAGTAGATCCAAATCCTTAATTTCAAACATTCTGCTAACTTCTCCTTCAAGCTAGTTCAGCTTCATTGTTGCTCATAACGATTATATCATTCACATAGATTTTTGGCGGAGTATTAGTAAAACATCTTTTTCCAAGTCTGCATTTAGAAATGCATTCTTCATGTCAACTCGATATTATTAAGGCCAGGAAAAATTCACTATCAAAGATAGCTGGCTCAGATTGAGTTCATTTTTGTAAATTGGGAAATTTTCTCTTGATAGTTAATTACTGTGGTTTGTGTAAAATCCATGGTTACGAGCCTTGCCTTGTTTTCTGCACTTTTGGATCAGCTGTGCATTTGACAGTTAATAAACATTTGCATCTTATTTCTTGGTGAGTCAACTGCCTATGTTCCGTTTTTTCAATTCTGATCATCAAGAACTTTTGTGATTTATCTTGTAACGAAAAATAAAAAAGTTGAACTCGTGAGACAAAGCTCTATGTTTGCATGACATAATTTTGTATGACATATTTTGGAATAGTAGTAAGCACATGCTATCATGCTTGTCAATCTCTGGTGTAGTTAACTCAAAGTCATGCATGCTTACATCCCTTGGTATCAAAATGAGTTAACTCATTTGCAAAATTGTTTCCATCTTGAATCATCTGCAATGGTGAATGCATTGTATGAGTCTCAACCCCATAGCTTCCAGCATAAATAAATTTGCAGATTAGAAAACATGAACAGGCTAACTAAGCGAATGACCCCAACTCGTTTGTTGAAACTTAGATCCACTAAGTTGAATTTGGTTCTAACACATGGAACCCAGTCCCTCAGTTCTTCAGTCTCTACTAGTTTTGAACCTTGTAGCTTGTCAATTTGGAAAATTTTATGCTCTTTTTGTGTGCTAGTTCCCGAACCTATTTAGTGGTTTATGAATTTGTCGTCATTTTTGAACTCTGATGCTAGGTTGTGGATTGGCTGTTTTAGTTGCTCTGATTAGGTCAGGCCAGCTAGGTCCTGCCTACCCGGGATCATAAACTTGGGATTTGTTGACTACATGAAACAATTAAAGAAACTTGCCCCATTCTATTTTGAATTCATATGTTTATAATTATTATTCATGTAATTTGTCCAAAAAATGATCAAATAGCGGCCATCCCACTATACACTATCCCCCTATCACATTTTAGGGTCGGCGCTCCGCGTCGTTATGACTATGATTTCAAATCAATGCAGAAAATTAGATTACAGATTCTCCTCTTATAGTAGATGAGACTTGAATGTGTTGTAGTTATTCGATTACTGATATCTCTAAGAAATAGGATATGACACATCCCAATTAGCAAGAACTTTGAATTTGAAATATCTCTGTCTCCTTCAACACTTCAGGCCTTTTGTGAACCTTTTGGTTCATGAACTCAGTTTTTAGTGGAAAAGGCTTGATCGTAGTTCTTGTTAGAGTGTATACAGCACGTCTGATTAGAAATTGGATATTTGAGCTGATGGTTGATGATCTTGCGATTTTATTTTTTGTTTTAAACAGGGTTTTGATGAGTACATGAATTTGGTTTTGGATGACGCCGAAGAAGTAAACGTCAAGAAGAAGAGCAGAAAGACACTAGGTAAAGATAAGCTCCTCAATTTTTTTCCTTCTATTAGGCTTTGCCACTTGTGCATTATCTAATGATGCTATTGTTTTGAATAGGGAGGATTCTTCTTAAAGGAGACAACATAACTTTAATGATGAACACGTAAGTGAAATTTAAATAGCACTTTTATCTGTTTCTCTGGTTTTCATCTCTAAATTTAAGTGATATAATTTGCTCTTTACAAATTTCAGGGGGAAATGATGATGAGCACATGTCCATCCAACAAGAATGCTGATTTTATCTTTACCCTTTTCAGTTTAATGACTATTTCTCCTGTCAACATGTTGAATATGCTGTGTGAAAATAGTAATGTTGGCAATATGCAATTTTTATGGACTAGACAAATACCTGGTTGTTCCTCTTAGTGCCTTCTTATTGCCTCTATTAATGTTCAGATTCTAAAACCATTGTAGCACCGATATTGTAATGTTCAGTTATCATCATAGTAAATCAGTCGTTAATTATAGTTTGAAGCTATTTCAAGTAGAAAATTATCATCATAGTAAATCTAGTTCAACTCAATTCATTGGAAAATGAATAAAAAATAATTGTTGAGGTTCTAATCTGATGGTAAACTTCGATACTTGAATGGTGTGTTGAGGTTTTGGTCTGATGTTGGGGATACCTACAAACACCGCGACATTATTTTATAGTTAAAAACTTTTATTGGCATTTTATATTAAGGTTTTTAATGTTATAGGGAGAAAATGCGCGACAACTTCTAAGGTATGAGATAGTTTTTCTTGGAAACTCCATGTGGCTTCCAATTGTTTTTAATCTTACCTTTTGATTGTGTTTTTTCGTTGGTTTTGGATTTTCCTCTATAAATAATTTCTCACTTGTTCTTAAATTCTTGGTGTTTCCTTCCAAGTTATCATTTGCCTGAGATTTTTCTCTTTCTTGTTTGTAGCTGCAAGCCCTTCTCCAGGTGTTGGTTGCTGATCCTTCTTGTAGTTTTTGTTTCTAATGAGTTTAATTTCATTCTTTCCCCTTTGCGTTTGCGGCGCCCCTACTTTTCCTCCCCCTCGTAGTTTTTCTTAGTTTTTTTTACGAGGGTTTCTCATTTGTCCGGAGAACCCGTTTAAAGAAAAAGTTAATAAACATTAAGGATAAGTGGGATTCTATGGGACAATGAAGGTATCTGATGCATTCCTTTTGGGTTTAGTATCCATCAACCAGTGTAGGGAGTTTGTTAATATACCCTTAGAGATTCTTAGGGGTTCTTGACGAAATATCCGTAATATCCCCTAATTCGAATATGTATATTTGAATTCATCACATTTCAATTTTTTATCGAATAGGTTTGGAGATACATATCAGAAGTCATCAAATGGTAGCTTTCAGAAATACATATTCGAGATAAACACCGACTACTAAACAAAATAAAAAATCTTAAAACCAAAACAATTTAACATAGACTTAACATAAATAGTCGAAATTACATAGACAATGAAATAGAAATTTAACATTACATATTGTTATAAACGGATAGTTGAGGACGTTGCAATATTTTAATAACATCTTCTCTCGATCTTTGAAATTTTGCATCCACTTCAATCGGACAATTAGTAGATATCAGTGAAAAGTACTCTACATAATCTTTAAATCGTCATTCGTCTTCAATGTAAACTGGGTGAACTTTATCTTTTCTTCAGTGTCAAGTGAGGGTGAACGATACTCGAGTTTGACCACCTTTCAATTTTCTGGATATTACAGGAGATGATTCAGTATGGTAATCAGTTCGGCGAGAGATGTGTCTTCGGAAAACTTAAATTGAAGTGACGACATATGACCATTGAAGTAGACAAAAGCAAATTGATGATATATTTGACTCATCTCTGTTTGTGGTGTGTGATGTTGAAGTGGTTTGGAGATCCTATTTATAGAAGATTTGAAGAAATTTGGATCAAAGAATTCTTATCCTGCACCAGAGCATGTTTCTGATATAAAGCTCCGAATTTACTCTTTTTTACGAAAATATGGGTTTTTCGGATAGACATATCCGAAATAACAACAATATTTTCGGATATAACAATAATGGTAGGGGTGATCATACTTTCGGATATGCATATCCAAAAATATCACTGAATGTTTAAATTGAACATTTAAATAATAATAACGTGTAATCAGGAGGATTTTCGGAGATGCATTTCTGTAACACAATTTAGGGTGCATTCAGATATACATCTCAGAATCATCCTTTATAGTGTGTTTGAAGATGCATCTCTAAATGATATTTTGAGATTTTCAGAAGTTTACTTCACCCTATAAGGATGTACTAAGATATTCTCTCCTGAGTATCTTCTAGGTGGGCCTGTTGTTCTTCATGAACTACCCATTTTGGAAGACTAGTACCAAACCGAGAAGATTGTGTTATTTGGGCATTTGACGGTGACGGCCTATTCACGCTTAGATTCTGTTATGATAAATTATTGCAGGGCTAGAAGATAATGCTTTTATCGGAAGATAGGGAGGCCACACTCAATCATATGAGTTGGTATGTGTTTTCTGTCTTAATCATGGAAAATATTTGGATCACATAATGGTTCATTGTAACATTGCAATAAAGGCGTGGGATAGAATTCAAACTTGGCTAAATATTGAGTTTATGTTGGGATCAGACTGTTGCACCAACTTTCTTCTTTGCAGGGACAATCTTAAGGGGTTGGTGAAGAAGGATAGAGTTGGAATGATTGAGCTAGTTGTTTCTTGGTGCATTTGGAAGGTAAGAAATGATATTATGTTTAATGGAGTTTTAGGAGATGTGGAGGATATAGTTTTCAAAGTAAAATATTTTTTTGGTGGTGGTTGACTATAGGATCTAAATGTAGAGTAAGTTTTAATTTTTATAAGTGGTGTTAATGCCCTCTTGATTTCTTAAAATAGACTTGAAATTCTGGTATTCAGATCTCAGATGTTCTAAGAGATGTCAAGACACATTTCTCTGAACAAACACATAATGACAAGATAAACGATGAACAAAGTACAAAAAAGTAAAAAACACACAAGATTGTTAACTCAGTTTGGTGTATAACAATACCTACTCTGGAGACTACCAAGTCAGGGAAGAAATCAACTGAATATTATCAATTTGAAGCTAAAATTCCCATTTGCAACTTCTCACTTAATCACTACCCTTGCTTAACTTTTACATAAGACTCACCTAAGTACGAGACTCTTCTTAGATTGCTTCCAATCACAAACCAGTGACTGAACAATTCTAAACACAAAAAATAACAGAAGTCACACTTCAAAGACACATAATCATTCACTGTTTAAAAGTTTTAGAATGATTGACAGAGCTTACAACTCAAAATAAAAGTCCTACTCTTTTATCAAGATGATAATCGAGAGGCTCACAATTAACACACAAACTCTAATAAAAATACACAAAAAATTCCACACATGTACTAGGGTTGAAGCCTTCTATTTATAATCTTTAATGAATTGGATTTGGGCTTCACATATGCAGCTGGATATGACAAAGACGCTGCAACGTTATCTCCTCAAAGATAAGATCAATTATTAGTTTCCTAAATTATCTCCATAATTAGAAATTAACAATTCTCCTCAAAATCAACTTAAATGTTTTTAATCTTCAAACTATGCACCACATAGGATAGCATAATATTTTATAGAATATTTTACACCTGTAACAAACTAAAAAATCCAACAGTCCAGATGTACAAAATTACGATGTCGAAAGAAACTGCATATGACATCACATTCAATATGTTGCTCCAGTTGATAAAATATCTTCATCCAACATGTCCATGCTAAGTTAGTTTTATCAAATACAATGACAATCACAACAAAACAGAGAATTAACAATTTCTCCTTTTGACTTATTTTGGCTAAAACAACTTGCACATCTTCCACACATAAACAACAGTAGCTCAGGTTTGAGAAGAATCTCAAACACACAATCAATCAGAAACACAACAGCAGTAGAAGTCAGTACAGTAAATATCAGAACAACAACTAGTGGAAGCTAGTCAACACAACAACCAAGAGAATACCAAATTCTCAACATGTCTGGACATCATGTTTGATAATTCTTTATAGTAGTCGACTCTAGAGCAGGGACTTCCCCTCAAAACCTGCCAAGTACTAACATATTCTCCCTCTCAACAAGCAATGGTTAGATCACACACTCACTCCCCCTTTTTATTCATAATATGACAAAGGTTAGTAGCTAATCAACAACACAATAACACAAAAGCTAGGAAGATCCTGGGCACTTAACCCTTATAAAATCATAAAGTAATAGAAACAAGTACACAAAGCAAAGCAAAAAAGGTTTATAAAGCCAATAGTCATACATCAACAATAAACTCTGCCCTTCCTTCATTAGTATCAACATCAATATTAGTAGCATCAATACTCTTGACAACAAAGTCTCCTCTTGGGAGGATGTCACAACAATATCTGTAACATGTGTTCCATCAAACAAGTCATAATGCAAAGATAATTTCTTTTTCTCCATAGCTAATAAAATACCCAAAAGCAAGTGGTAATATTTATTGATCCACCCCAATATCATTAATTTCTATAAATTCTCATTGACATAGATTTCTAGTCTCCTCAACTTTTCAAATTGATCTACATCTAAAGCTTTAGTAAAAATATCTGCAAGTTGATTTCCAGTACTAACATGCTCAAGAGTTATGACTTTGTCTTCAATAAGATCCCTTATGAAGTGATGCCCGATATCAATGTGCTTAGTTCTACTATGCTGAATAGGAGTTTTGAAAATATTAATAGCACTCAGGTTGTCACAGAATAAAGTCATGACATCTTGTCAACATCTGCTTCATCCATACCAGTTGAGAACAACTGTTACCTGCTACTATGTATTCAGCTTCGGCAGTAGATAGAGATACACAGTTTTTTTTCTTGCTAAATCATGAAATCAAGTTGTTTCCTAATAAGAAACGTCCACCCGAAGTACTCTTTCTATCATCCACACTACCAGCCTAATCAACATCACAATATCCCATTAAGACATAACTTGCATCATGAGAGTACATTATTTCATACTCACATGTATCATTCACATACTTTAGAATTCTTTTGACTTGAGTGATATGACTCATTTTGGGATCAATATGATATCTAGCACAAACATCAACAACAAAAACTATATCTAGCCTACTTGTTGTAAGATATATAAGACTTCCAATCATTCTTCTATATAAACT